TAGTAATGGGTGGGAACGGCCTAAGCAGGTCGGGTGGGAATTTATAGGGTTTATAGGGTTTAGGGTTTAGGGGTTTATAGGGTTTAGGGTTTAGGGGTTTTAGGGTGTTTAGGGGTTTAGGGTGTTTAGGGTGTTTAGGGTGTTTAGGGGTTTAGGGTGTTAGGGGTTTAGGGTGTTTAGGGTGTTTAGGGTTTAGGGCTTAGGGTTCAGAATTATAGGGGTTTAGGGCGGCTAAGGATTACACGGTTTTTGGCTTTCGGCTTAGGGTTCAGGATTGTAGGGTCTAGGGTTTAGGGCTGGGGATTACAGGGTTTAGGGTTGCCGGCTTAGGGTTCAGGATTGCAAGATTTAAGACTTCGGGTTTGGAGTGTAGGTATTTATATTTTGGGTTGGGTGTTTGGGCTTTCATGGGTGGGGTTTTGGGGCTTAAGGTTGGGGGTTTGGGTTTACGGGTTCGGGGGCTTGAGGCTCACTTGCCTCTTGTCAGGAGGGCATGCAGGAAGGGGTTCATTATTGGAGTTTTCGTAGGCTGAAGGCATAGGGAGTGTTGCCGAGATGCAATCCTTCAGTCCATAGCACACGAGGCAAGCAAAGTACAAAGCGCGTGGGTGCCGAAGCAAGAGAGGACAATAGTAGTTAGTTAATTGCAAGGAGGACGGGGCCATTTCAGGATACAGTAGTGACGGGTAGGGCACTGACAGCCGTAGTAATTGTAAGGAGAATTACGAAGGCTCCAAGATGCAGCGTTAACATGTATTGCCTACTGCCTGGAGCAAAGGCCTGAATTCCATAGACTGCTTGGATAGTTAACGTAGGATGAGAAGCTAGCTGAATATTGAGTTTTCCACTTGGCAGCCGACCCAAGTCTGACAAACTTCGGGCAAGCCAAGGCCAATCAGGCCGAAAAGGCCGCTGAGCTGGAGCAGAAGGATGCCAATGCCCAAGGAAAGCCACCTTTTTGCCGGCTTCTTCCAATCAGTGATGGATGGGGGCAGTAGCCATACTTGAGATCAAGTCATACTTCTGTGTGCTTTGGAAGTATGATAATCACCACGTCCAAAAAACATAGCCCTCTTCTGAGAAGATAGGGCTTAAGCTGTCGGGATGGGAATCAGGCTGTGGGCTCTTGAGGGTGCAGTGACGGCGGCATTATGGAGGAGAGGAGTATGAGCGGGTAGCAGCAGAGGCAGCAGTAACAATCATGAGTTCTGCCGACAGTGCTGCCTGCCGGTGCGAGTTCTATTCCACACCAGTGATGACATTCGGGACCAGAGCTTCTTGAAGTTATTTGCATAGCTTCGCGTTTCAAGCGTCCAAGGTTCTGGCCTTTCAGGCGGCACTTCCCCAGGCCGTGGGGTTAGCGCGCAGGATCCAGGTTTCTACAGTGGACTCAAGATGACCCTCCTTGTCCCGAAAAAGAACTGAATGCCATGCAGCCCATGTTTTCAAAGGCGAATGCCGTTTTTGAGGGTCAACGTCAGTTTGCGAAGTGTCGGATTTTTCAGTGCGTCTTTATGACAGGGACCCCTACTTTGGGAGGCGGAAGGAGTGCACGGGGAAATCCCGATGTTGAAGCCCAGCCATTGAAGGTTGAAAAAGGGATCCTCAACATGCATCCGGAATTCGCAGCTAGTTGGTCCATGTCTATAAAGGCTCCTACGTAATCAGACCCTTTACACAACTGCTTGTGGGCGAGGAAGTCAGTTCAATAAGAGTAGCTCAGCACTCAGCTGAATCTGGAAGCATACGTCAGACATACGTACCTCACATGTCAAATGCACCCCAAACATCAGAATACCTCACTTAGCGCTTGCCCTACATTAGTGTAGTGCGGGTCCACAAACTTGGACTCCTGCCAAAACATAGGTCCCGATTCCAAGTTGGAGTTTCCTAAGCTCCCGCATACGCCGAAGTCCCATTATTACTTCTGGTTAGCAAGATATGAAGGAATGGAGTAGTCTTTGTAGAATCCCCAATGGTACAGTAATCTCCGTTTTCTTTTCCATTCCTTCATTTGCTACTCAGCAGAGGTAAGTTCCCTGCAAGGCCATGCAGGTTGTCACCGACGCGGAGGATGCGGTGGAGTGACTGAGCTGCAATTTTCCTGAGGGTTCCATGGGCTTCCAGGTTACAGGCACTAGGGTGGGTTCCCTGGACCCGTATAATACCCGGAAAAAAGGATAGAATCCCATGTAAGAAGGTTACTGGGGAAAGGCTGAAGGTGGGGGGATTGCTGCAGTTGATGGCTGTTTGGGATTGTGCCGGGGCTGTAGGAGGTGTTTTCGTGACAGAGTTCAGAAGGGCATTCATCGACGTTTCTCTCTTGAAGTCTATTGGTGCATGAAACATAATTGGCCCAGTTTTTTTGACAGCTGTCGTCACGGTGATTCTCTGCAATACATTGCATTGATAAGCATCGTTTCCTTACTTTATGAGGCGCATCAACTGCATACTTGATTCCATGTTACATGTGAAAATCAGCATGAGGAGTTGAGCTGCGGCTGCTAAGAAAGGTCTCTCCAATAATGAGCCCCAAAAAGGAGTTCTTCAATCTTGTTGCTTTGCCCTAACCCCCTGATTGAGCCTGAATTCCCCCTGAACCCGAACCTGTACAGTGCAAGGACGGTTGCTATCCTGGCAGCAGCCGTGGGAATCGATGAGGAAGGTCCTGAAACAGGGGAGACCCAGATCAAGGCCATCCAAGACATCGAGAAGCCAGGGCCCTGGTATTTAAAGGGTCAGGGGTGTGGCTGAAGAATGCTGGCTGTATGTCAGGATTGCCTATTGAGTCCCCCTGGTTGTTCCAAGCAGTGTTTGCGATGTAGAGTGCTCAAAGGGTTTGCGCTTTGGCCCCCTCTGCATCCTCATCCTGTCTCCCCAGGTCTGGAGGATTGCTTCCGACCTGAGAGTCGCATCATATTCAGAAAGAATCCAAAGCTAGGAGACGAATGCAGAGAAGCCCGGGCTGCTTTGAAGATCTGCTTAAATTCGGAGCGCAATGAGTCAGGACATCTTTGCCTGCACGTCGCTAAGGTAGACCACCACACACCAAACCTTTTCTACATCCGCCTGAAGCAAAACCAATTGGTTTCCAAGGGCTGCGACGAAGGCGTCCAGCAACTTGATCGAGGCACAGAAAGCCGTCACTTGCTTCGATCACTGCTGAGAGGTTTTCTTCTCCATTATCCCTACATAACCCCAATATATCCCAATATATTATATAGTAGCTTCCTTCTTTTCCACTATCCCTAGATAACCTACTACTAGCCTCACCTATGTCATCATGGTGGCATAAGAGCTGATGGTCTCAGCAAAACACAAGGCACTTTCTGGCCCCCTCAATCTGTCTGCGTTGACTGCGCAGCAGCTGCAACCTCTCGGTTTAAGAGCACCAGACTTACTGGCTCTTCGTAGGGAATAAGGGAATATACTATATAGGTATGATGTAGGGATTATATACCCTCATGACCTGCTAAGAACCAGTAAGTAGATTATTCAGTCAGAACGTTACTTCAGATCCCATCCCCCAACCTATGGCCTTGAACTAAACCAAATAATTACGCCCAAAACCTTACACGCCCTGAACGCGGGCCCAAGAATCAAACGTCCTGACCAGCTTGCATTTTTTATGAAGTATGAAGTACATCAGTGGCATCCAAGCAGTGGGCCCATGGTTCCAGTCTGACATCTAAGCCCAAGATCCAAAGACTGTAGAACTCACGCTCAGACAGGCCAAGAAGCTGGTAAATAGCCGGCTCATGGATGCCAAGCGCTTTGCACCAGAAGCCAAGAAGGCGGGGCAGCTTAGGCTTTAGGAGTTGGGGGAGTTTAGGATGGCCTTGGGGTTCAGGACCGTGGGTTCAGGATGGATTCAAAACTTAGGACTCAGGACTTGGTGCTATCAGTTTCGATTTCAGACGTAGGGTTAGGTTAAGAATTCCTGGATTTCGTGGAGTGTTCAGGGATTCAAGTGGGTTCTTGGTTTGACTTTGGATCAACAATGGCTAACCACGAGACCTTCACCTCCGGACTCTAGGATGCTCAGGATCACAAAGCTTTACAGGCACTCAGCCATGCCTACTGTTCATCTCCCCGAATGCATCGGTGTCCAGGTGGCAGTGCAGGAGTACCAGGCCTTGGCCTCGGAGAGCTCTCGATGAACAACGCGGGAAGCATGTAGTCCACAGCTCACCAAGGCCCTAAGACAAACCCCCAAGAATTGGTGTGAATGCCCGTGTCCCCACAACGGGTCAGGTAACTAGGCTTGAGTCAATGCAGACCCGAGTGTGGATTTTGTCACAGCTGCTGGTCTGCTTGCTATGGAAGTGGGCCCAAGGATGTAGGAAGCTCACCGCAAAGGACCGGTGAGGGTGAAAGGGGTCCTATGTTAGAGTGCCGCTATGACCGCCTAGGGACGGTTGGTGAGGGCGCTTATGGCACGGTCTACCTCGTCAAGAGGAAGCGCTCTGGTCATGAAATTGGGCAAGATCTTCTGGTGGCAAAGAAGATTTCCATCTCTCACTTGCGCAGGGGGGAGCAGAGCGATGCTATCCGCGAGGCAGATTTGCTAAGGAGCTTGTCCCACCCTAACATTGTAGAGTTTGTGGATTCCTTCGTGGAAGACTCACACATCCTCTACATCATCATGGGCTTCGCAGATGCTGGTGACCTGGCTGCAAGGATCCAAAGTGCGCAAGACCTGGGCCAAGCCATTCCAGAGCGCGAGGTCATGCAGGTTCTGGCCCAGGCGTGTCGCTCAAGACTGTAGCCTTCAACTAGATGGAGTATATCGCTTCTGAAGGGATCCTTAGAAGTTCATGCCGCCGATTGCTGCCCCGCCCTGTGTCAAAGGGCGGGTAGGTGAAAGCAGAACAGTATGAGCCACTTGAAGGGGTGCCACTGCATGATGAGGTGTGCTCACGGGTAGTGTTAGTCCACTTGCACTCACAGCAGCCCGCATGTAGTCTTTTTGTGAGTGCGCAGGTGGTGTTGGCGCTCGCCTACCTCCACCGGAACCGGATACTCCACCGCGATGTCAAGCCAACAAACATCTTCCTGACAAAGCGCGGGCTTGTGAAGCTTGGGGATCTTGGGCTTGCAAAGAAGGTGGAGCTCTCCGCGTCTTCCGTGCAGACGCCAGCGGGAACACCCCTCTACACCTCCCCAGAGGTTTGCCATAACGAGCGCTATGGCAGCCAGAGTGATGTTTGGTCCCTAGGTGTCAGCATCTATGAAGCCGCAGCACTCCGCGCACCTTTTGAGGCAGAGTCCCTGGCATCCTTGGTGATGAAGATCTGCCACTCCCAGCCGGATCCACTTCCAGCCGGGTATTCCCGAGAGTTGCGTCTTCTCATCATGGACCTACTGGAGAAGGATCCAAGTGTGAGACCTTCTTTGCCCAGTCTCCTCTGCACACCCTTCATGCGCTCCTGCCTGAAGATCCTCTTGCGCGACCAGCAAAGGGCCGCTTGGGATAGCCTTTTGTTGGCCCGGACGGTCTGCGAAGCCCTGCTACAGGGAGTGGCAGACCAAGCTTTGGGCCAAGGGAAGCCGAACCAGCATAGAAGGGCCAAGTCTGCTTCGCGGAAGTGAAAGCATGCAGCCCCTAATCTCTTGTGTAGGAATCCTTCAATTAGATCTGTAAATGTAATCTTTGGGGACAGTAGGCTGTCCTGTGAGCTAAAGTCTCCCCTCAAGACTGGGCGGCAAAGCAGCGTCCAAGTCGAATGCAATGCGTGCCAAATGAAGTGGCGGAAATTCCTCTGGGAGTGTCTCCAAACTGGGCGGTCCCAGTATTTCTTTTCTGGCATCTATTAAATTTTAGTGGCAGGGACGACACTGAAGGGTTTCCTTGGGAGGGGCCCAGATTTTGAGAAATACCCAAGTGACTGGAAGCCGTCAAAGCCTTGTGCCTGCTCCTTTGGAGCAGAGATCCTCAGGACGATCTGCTGATGTGAAAAGCGTGGGCTTAGTGCGTCCTCTTCTGCGCTGGTGAGAGCACATGGGAGCATTACCATCACAACCTCGTATACTCCTGAAATCCAGACTACCTCTTGTGAGTGTACCCCAGCCCTCAGAAAGAAGCAGCCTTCAGTAAATTCGTAAATTCGGTATTGAGGTCTAGTGTTGGGGGGTTGCCCTACGAAGCAAATTAGTGTGCTCGCCAAAAAGATGACCTTTAGGAAAAAAAGCCTCAGAATGAGCCCATAATCTGGAGAGGTTCCACATACCCAAACACTATCGCCAGAGAACCTCTTCATCGCTCCCCCAAAACAAGGTCTCCCGCTTTCGACGCCCCAGGCCCTAATCCAACCCCAGCCCCAAAATCCCATACTCTCAGACCCTAGCATCTAGCCCCTCAACCCCAAATCCTAGACTAGAACCCCAAACACCCTAAGCCCTCAAAACCGAGTCTAATTCCTCAACCCTAAAACCTCAAACCACAAACCAAGATTTAAACCCTCGATTCTAGACCCAAGCCCGGCATCGGACCTCAGCCGATGAGCCAAGGACCTGGACCGGAAGCTGAACGAGGCTTCCAAGCGGCTCACGCCCCTGAAGAAATTCCGCCAGGAGAGGATTTTGGAGTTCAGGGGCCAAGGTTTAATGGAGTTCTGTCTGTTTTGATTCAGGGTGTCGGGGTGTTGGGTACGGAATCCAAGAGTTTGAGTTCAAAACGTTGGGGTGCGTCAAACGGTAGGAGCGCAGACAGAATCATGAGAGGGTGGACTCAAGCCCTGTGCGCAACGTGCAGACGTAAAAGTCCTCGGGGTTAAAAAGGTTTGCCATGCAGGAAGTAATTGGGCAGCAGAGAGTTGCTTCCATTTTGCACATTCGTATTCCTAAATAGCTTAGCAGGCAACGATCAGCTGATGAGAAAGGTTCCTATGTCATGATTACAAAAGCCTACGTATGAGATCTCTATTGCGACTTGTGAATCCCGCATGATCAAAAGCTTTAGTATTCCTGTCGAGCACGCCATAATCATATAGCCCCTCTACCACCTGTATCATTAGATATCATCAAGCTTGAGTAACCTACGTGCAGTGCAAAAAGGCCCGGTATATCATCAAACTTCAGCACATCCCAGGAGTTCGAGCAGAAAGCCACCGCGAAGAAAGCATTAGCAGAGATCACGAAGAAGCTCAGCAGCCAGGGCCTGAGCAAAGGGATCATACCTATGGCGACTGTTGTTGATCCCGATTGTCGTTGCTATTACTGCCGTAGTCATCGCTACTCATCACTGCTTTCTCGCATCATGTCATTCTACAGGGTCTTTTCTTTGATGATTCTGATCGTAGATGCCATCATCACCAGCATCAGCAGGACCTTCCCCACTGTCACCAATGCAATCCCCATCATCACCATCATCGTCAGCAGCATCATCCTTTTTTGCCATGATTCTTGCTCTTGCGCTGCCATCCTCCAGCGCATTTGGACCCCGCATGGCCTCAGCCGAGGTGCAGAACTGGAGGTCGAGAAGGTGTGGAGCATGGGTGTTCGTAATTGCAGCAAGGGGCATGGCTGTTTTTCCTTCTTTGGGGAAATACCCAAGTACCCAAGTCTGTTACCCAGCGTTTCATGAAGGCCCACATCATGACCTCCTCTGCAGATTCTGGTGGAGCAAAATTGGAGGAGGCTGCGAGGGTTGGAACGGCTGGTCCTTGGTCGTAGGAGGTTGCTGTTAAGGAAATTGGTTTCAGTCGTTTGAGTTCCACATCTTGCGTAGAAGAAATAGAATGAACAGTACATGAAAAGTGTTTTCATGTTGTTGCACCTCACCTGAAGCTCCTTATTCGAAAGCTGCAGTGATCGTAAGTCAGCGTCGCCTACTCCGGCTCCAGCGTTGCAACAATGTTTCAGGGGGTCATGCGCTGAGAGACATGTGCCCCAGGATGTCCCGTGTAGTGCCAATTTTTGCGGCGCTAGCTGCAAGAACTCTGGCCGCACCAGAGCAGCGTCCCATCTGCAGGCTTGCAGATGCTTTCACTACATCTGTGGACATGCACATAGCAGACTGGGACAGTCAGATTGATTTTGCCTTGAATGAGTCTTTAAACTGCTCAGACTTCCTCGAGTACGTCTACCTGTCCAGAGACAGGATACGAACCCAGCTGGACTATGTGCGAGGCAACTTCACGTCAGAGGATGAGGCTTTTAGGCTGCAGGGGGCCATGGGAGGTTCCAGTGCCTGGGCTATGACCCACATGTCTGCGGCCGCTTCCTTGCTGTCGGCCTACGTCCATATCCACGGCATGCTCTCAGCTGCTCGCTTTGAGTGCCTCAACGAGCATCTGCAGCTGCTTTTCCTGATGAGCTTCCGGAGGCTGAAGGGTCTACTGCATGGCCAACTGCGTCACCTTTGGCTCGTCTTCCAGGGCACTGCGGAACTGGTCCGCCAGGGCGCGGGTAAGTGGCTAGCAGAGGTCGTGGACCTAGTTCTGTGCCTTGTTTCCTAGGCTTCTACACACGTGCTTATGCTTGGACATTGCTATGAAGCTACGAGCCGACAGCATTGGGCTTCAAACAGGTTAGGGCCGCCTTTTCCCGACAGAGGTTTGTAACAGCATTTGCGTGACCGATGTCAGGGCAGTCCGCGATGAATGGAGTGTGTAAAAAAGTGTTGGGTTGCAGATTTTGATCCATAAGTCTTAAGCAGCCATGAGTGATAGTGAACGAGGGTGAGCGAGAGGGGGTTGCGTCTGAGGTTGTAGACCTCTTCGAGGCGGACCTTCGCACCTATGAGTCTGTGATGGTGAACTGGAAGTCCAAGGAAGAAATTGAAGCAAACAGCAATGGGAGCAGCATTCCCCTGAGGCCGGGCCCGCCCCTTCCGCCATTCAGCACGCGAGAGGATGGCATCGCCTTATCCACCATTGAGGTGCTCCGACGTGACACCTTCGAGGAGTGGAATGTGCCAAAGCCGCTTCTCAGGGCCTTGTTACGATATGTGATTCCACGGGACAGCCAGGTAGCCGACTTCTGTGCAGGAATCGGGACGGCTGCCAGCTTCCTGAATGACACCGGCCTGGTCCGGGCCTATGCTTTCGACGCATCGAGCAACATCAAGCTTCTGAGCCGGAACGCCGTGGAATACCTGCGGCTGTACAGCGAAGAAGCGAAGCTTTGGACCACCTTTGATGTAACCATGTGTCTCTCCGCAGCTGCGGATTATGGACCCAAGCCCGAGGTTTGGGCCCAGGTTTGGAGGAACCTTGAAGCCAACACGCGCAGGACAGCCGTCTTGACCTGTGGTCTTGGGGAGGCGCGGCAGGAAGCCATGAGCGCCGCGGCCACGCATGCGCCTAGCTTGTCCTATGATGAGCAGCTGAGCTCTCAAATTGATGAGCTCCATCCGGGGACCTGCATCTTCTGGCGCAAGCCAGGGCTATAAATCGCAAGCGAAAAAAAGGCAACTCCTGTTGCATCGCCTCAAAGTGCCCCAGAGCCACGCCTGCATTCCTTCAAAGCAACTGCGCCTGCATGGCATGGTGTTTTGCCCACAGGACGAGATTACCTCCACAGCCAAGCTCCTCCAGCCAGCCGAGGCAAGTTGCAGTGCAACTCTCCATATCTACATGTTTCTGCCTGAATCTAGTACAGCAGCGGGGATCGCTCGGGAGAAATTGTTTCTAGCACAGCACTGATAGCCATTGCTGTAATTCACTTCCCCAACTTATCCCCCGAACCCTTGACTCGTTTTCCCTGCTTCTATACATTCGCCTTCTTTTCGGAGTTCCTGGCAATCATAGCTATTTTTCCTACTACCTAAGAGGCTGAGCGAGCACCCTATTCTTTTGGGGGAAAACTAAACCCTCAAACGCCTTCGAGAGATTCCCATTTGGCCTCTTGAGGCGGACCTGAACGTGACAGGGCAGCTCATAGATCGGCGGCTCAAGGCTTATACGAGTTATCAGCAGGTGTTCAGGGTTTTGCCTTCATGGTTCAGGTTTAGGGTGAATGTGGGGTACTGACTAGTGTAGCCCCCCCCCCCAAATAAAAAAGAGTCCTTCTTTACTGACTTTACTGGAAGCCGGGGGCCCCCCAAACAAATCTGGATCCTGGCTTTACATTAAATTCAATAGGAGGGATCAGAATCCATTCAGGTAAAGCTCAGAAGGGTTTCAGAAGGCATTTTTCGGCTTCTGTTTAATTGTTCTTCGACCTATTTGTATGGCCGCGAAACTTTGCACAATTTAGGGCACCCGAACGAATCATTGGATGCTGAATATTTTTTCAGCAAAGCTTCGCACAATAAGGCCCCCCCCCACGCTAATCGGGATCAAACATTACGGGTTGAGTGTTCATTGGGGTTTCTGGGCTTGTTTTTTTGAGGGCGACATTGTCGACACCCTCCTCCAAAAAGAGATGGTGTAAGTTACGCGCAGGGTGCTTGAAAATGATGGGGCCACTTGGGTTAGAGGTCCCACACACGCATGGACTCTCATGTCTTGCCAGTCTGCAGGGGGTGCTGCTTTCATGAAGGACAATATTTCAGACATTGCCACCTCCTGGGCTGCCTTTACAAGGTTCAGGGGTCTCTACCATAATGAAGGGTATGTAGGGTACATGGTGTTTAGGGTCACCAGTATAAGACAACCCTATTACTTACCATTTACCCATATTAGGGGTCTAGAGACTTAGGTGGCTAGAGGCTCTCACTGCCCAGTCATCTTAGTCCAAAGCCTACACACAAGACCATAATTTTTGAGCCAACCCATCCCCTCCCGCTTACAATACAACCCCCCACTTCCCTTAATAGCATGACTAACAGTTTCCATTTCTCATTCTTATGAATGATATTGTCATAGATAGGCCTCCAGTATTGTTTGCAATACAGTACCCTCATGTAATATGGGGCATTTTTGCCTTTTGCGAAACTTCCAGGCCCTCTCCGGAAGCGATCCGGAAACCGAGCAGCAGCGAAAAGAGCTGGAGGCAAGTCATACTCAGCTTAAAGGGGCTTTGCAGAGATTGTGAGTTGTGTAGGGATATTGTATTGTAAAGGTAATATACGGGTTATGTAGGGTCATATCGGGTGTAGGGTAGCAATGGAGAATCAAATGAACAAGCATATTGATAACGAAATGGGCGTGGGGAGTTTAGGGATGCATAGGGCTTAGGATCCGTTAGTAGGGAATGAAGCGCGGAAAAGAAAGGGCAACCACCACACTGTCTAGGGTTTAGGGTGTTTGAGTTTAGGGTTTGGGGCTTACACAGGGTTATTCCCTCCCGAACTACAACCTCCCACTTCCCCCAACAACGGCTATTCCCAATGTAGTACCATTGTACGCTAGGGGAACATCATTTGGGTCTGTCCGAGGACGGGGATGGAATGGGAATGGGAGGTAGGGTCTAGTAACTGTAAGGGGTTAGCGACTACTAGAATGGTTACTTCTCACCATTCCGCACCAACAAGGGCAAGTTCACCCGGAATGTCTCGGTTGGGGGGTTCCTTTATTTGCAGATTCTAGCATTTTTTGTCTATATACATGAGGCATCTAGACTTGAGAAGCTCCTGTCTGAGTAGTAATTCTTTTGTGTACGCATGCGGGTCTTGGAGGACTTCTTTTGGGAGGGCCTGGCTGGCTTTAATAAAAGGTCCGAATGTTTCGTGATAGAAAGGTACCCCTTCTCTAGGCAGTCCCAAACCCTTATATAGTAATATACTAATATAGTAGTAGTATAGTAGTATGGTAGTATAGTAATATAGTAATGAGGACATCCCCAAATTCCACACGTCCCACACCCGCAGCCCTCAGGCTCTCCAGAAGCGCAGTATCGAGACACGCGCCAAGATGGGCGCTGTCCGCCGGAAGTCTCAGGAGAGTCGGGATGAGCAATGTTCGCCATACTGACATCTTCTGAGGACAGTAACCTGATTCCTGTAAAGGGCGAGCAGACTTGTAGAAGCGGAGAGCGGAAACAAGTAGAAGCGGCGGGCAGACACATGCAGAAACTCCCTGGTGGGGATTCCTCAGATGTTCCAATCCGTCCATGCCCCTAAACAACTTCACCTGTAGGATGCATGACCCTCAAACGTGAAAGGCCCTTGATAACACGGTGTGTGTGTGTGTGCATCGATTATGCTGAGATGATACATTCGGGTAACACAGAGACCTCGCCAGCACAAGAAATTGTAGTACGAGACCACCACCAGTCTTAATTTCAGATCTCTGGACCTTTGTGCGGTTTGCAACAACACCCGCAAGCTCTCATCTACCTCCAAATCGGCTTCAATCTGCATGTAACAGGGTCGCCATGTATGCCGTCAAAATCTGAGGATTGAGGATGCTTGTTGATCACCTCAAGCAGGGTTCCATGTATCCGGCTCACGACGACTGGTCCACGGTGCTCAGGTGCCGTGCTCAAAAGACAAGAGGAGTCACTCAAAGTGGACGTCCTGCAGAACAAGGCCTGCTGAGCCAATCCAGCACCAGCTTACCGGTGGTTAGTAGGGAATGAGGGATTATATTCCCTATGTGACTCCTATATAACAGTGTATTCCCATGTTCCCTACTAACCCCCAGTAAGCCCGGGTGTTGAGGGCTTGACGGCAGGCTGGTCCTGATAGATGATCACTTGGGTGCTAGCAGGTTGCCACATACTCGTGCTTCGTCTAGCCAACGAACGACCATATGAAACAGCGTACCTCTTTTTTAAGTGCTCATCAGAATTACCGCCTTTCTCAAGTCTCAAGGGTGGTATATCTTAGATATGCAAGAAGCCGTTAAAATGTCGTAGCAACCGGGAGACCCAAAATTGTGTGCTTGAATGTGCGAATTGTGGGCGACATTTTGGACTTGGTGATTGTTTTTGAGAGTCCTTCTACAATACAGGGATTACTTAGGCTGATAAGTTGTTCTCCCCTGTAGCGATAGATTGGAAGGAACGAGCTTTTAATACTTTCATCACCTGATCAAGATTTGTGCCTGAACCTCACAATGTGAGCCATCTTGCGGAGCCTTAACTGCCAAACTGCTCCGCTTACACGATGTCGGCACAACAAGAACGCCACTTGCGTGCAGGTTGCGGAGAAAGTTGAGCAAGCAGAGGAGGCTGACCAACACGTTGGCGAGGGCTCAGTTCGGCACACCCTTATACGTACTAGTCTTCGGGTAGATGAGACTAATGGTGCTGAGAAACACGGCACATTGTCCATGTCTCTAAGTGAGGGCTCCCTCTCCATCCCTAACATGTCAAATTCTTCTTGCATGCCCCTGAGGGGGGCTTTGCCAAAAGGATGCTGAGTGAAAAACTTGCCTTGGCCTGTGGACTCTCATGCTACTTTAGAAGTTTACGTTCAATACTGTTTAGGGTGCACTACACGAATTATACAAGGATTGCAACTGGACGATATTCCGAATTCTGCAGGCTTGTACTGTATCCACGCCAAAGTTTTGCACAAGGCATTCTCTGTGTTTGCTGGCTCTCACTCAAAGTGGTTGTTACGGCTATACAATGCATCTTCAACCTGTCAACCCTCGAGTTGAAACATGCGCGATGCTGATTCATCATGGCTATTGTAGCATAGACCCCTGCAAGAATCCAGCAGTGAGGCCTACGTATACCTATGTATAATTTCAGGGTTTAACACATCATCGACCTAGATCCGTTCCGCACACCCGAGACATCATGTTCTTATGGCTAGAGCATAGTGATTGCTCGCAGGGTGCAAGGTCTCATTGGATAGTACATGGATGTAATCATGGGTAGAACGGGCCCAAGAATTTGAGGAGATGCGCTCGACGCTAATCTAGCCAGAAATTACAAATCCAAAGTCTTAACCATAGGCCCTGGACTCTAGATACTGATGAGCTCTACCCCGTTAGGATTACTATGCTCAAGCTGTGACGCTGACGAAAGGCCTTTCTGGCGACCTCGGAAGCCGAGATGCCAGAGGGCCCAGTGAAACCTGGATTTCAACCCCATGGGACCCTGAAGCTTTAGGGTCCCTATCACATAGGCTTTGCGATGTAGGGGATGTATCGGAAACTCTAATATTCAAATGTCAGCATGTCACTCAGCAGGCTGCATAATTTTTTCCATCTCCTTGCCATGCCCGATCTTGTTCTGAGCCTGACCGGGACAGCAGGTGGGAGTTCTCACGATTCCTACGTGATCCTTTTTTTCTGGACCCCTATAGTCCCAAGAGCTCATGGGGTCCCTAGAGAAACTCGCGGCGTTTACTCGAAAAGGTAGGTTTGTAGCAGAACGCTCTGCTTCACTTCCAAGAGATTCAGAGCCTCAACCCCCAAACCCAAACCCAATTGAGCAGCATTTTTCATAGGGATAGGGGAGTTTGTTTTCTCCTTGTTATCATGTAAAATTTTCTGAAAAGTTGTTTTATTTGACTCCACCACAAAGAAAACCACCCGATTCCCGAATCTCCAA